GCAGTATTTAGTGGAACAACCAAGAAAGATCGGAGAACTAGCTTTTTATCTATCGAAACTAAAAAGTCCGAATACTGATGTAGGAAATGAATGTTTGTTGCAGAATTACACTATTAACGAGAACTTGACTGTCAGACGGTTGCTAACCAGACATTGAGAAAATGCATAACTTAAAAAATTTAAAGATTTAAAATATGTGTTGATATCTACTTCCTTTATAGCAACTAAATGGAAGATGTTAAAATATTCCTGTTGTATTTTATTTGAAAAGTTGTTCAAAATGCGAAATAATCAGAACAAATTAACGCCTGACCCAAAAATTCGCATATTTGTATTAGATGAAGAAAAGTGATAATTTTGGCAACTAGCAGATTGAATTGAATGAAGGGATCAGGTCAGGTCAATTGAGAACCGCAGCGGATAAGTGTAGGCGACCGCTTTAAAAGTTAACTTTCTATAAGGGCGTATGCAAAATTTTCACCAAGTGGTGACCATACGGCAACGCCTTAGAGATGTGGATTTATATAAAAGATGGCCTGCCAAAGCCGATTTTAAAACAAAAAATGAAAGAAAGTGGTGACCATACGGCAATGACTTAGAGATGTGGATTTATATAGAAGACGCCCTGTCAAAATACCGCTATTAAAACAAAAAATGAAGACGTCATGACATTCTTAGATAAAAAGGACTAAAATTGGGATCAAATTGATAGGCAACAGATTTTGTTTTCTGACGAAAGCAAATTCAATTTGCTAAGCTCACAAATTTTTAACGCAGTTTGAGGTTTTTTTGAATTTTCATAATGATTTTGTAGTAAAAAAGTTAAGTTTCCTCAAAGCCAAATATTTTGGAGCTTGGCTTTTCATACCATGTTTTGGGCCTCTACAAAAAAACATCTGATAAAACCTCTTTACAATACTGGTATATAAGATATGTATGTACATAAGTGTGAAGTTGCTAAACAGACTTCAACAAACTAATGAAAATTAATATGAAATCAATTAAATCAACGAAAACGAAAAATCGATTTTATTCTATAAACAATATACAATGTATCCTACTCCCTCGTCACATTGATGCTTTTATGCCGAAAATGCTTTTAATACGCTGAATAAACGACGACCACAAAAAAATTACGCCATATTCAAATGCATTGCATTCTCAGCAATGTAATAAATTAATTTTCATTAAGCGAGTGAAATCTTATTTTGCATTTAGGCATACGAAAGCACACCATATACACACAATAGCACAACGACATTAGAATAGCAACGAAAATGAATTATGAATTGAAGAATTGCATTCATGCAAAGCCATTAGACCGTTTACAACTGTTATGCGCTTTGGCACTTTGACAATGCCACCAACACTGTGTGTGTGTGTGTGCTGCGAGAGAAGTAAATATTTGTCGCCAACAATAAAGTGGCATTATAATTTGCCATCAAGACATCAAGAAATATTTGGTTTACTCAAAAGATTGAAAAACAATTAGAACAATGCATATAAGCAAATACGAACGCGCTACAGAGTAATGGTCATCAGATGAACAGTGGCATGACGTCAGAGATACCTGCAGAATGGCTAGTATATAGTATTCTGGTATCAGCTATTCAGAAAATCTAATTTTTAGTTTTGTCATAAGTTTTTGAAAATCTGCAATTACTTTTGTGATCAAAAACGTAATTGATAATTAAAAGGCAATAAGAATTTACGAAGTTAATGCTATTTTTAGACTTCTCCAGCTTTACCTAGGCAAAGCTAGAATCTAAAGATATTCTTTTTTGGTTTCTGATGGTCTAGCACCGAGTTATGACGGACACAACAATTCAATTTTTTTGCGAGACACTCCAGAGTAATTGCTACCACTGTCGTATTTTTTAATATTTCGGCATGAAAATTTGACAACATATACGTCGAATATCCTGCTGAAATGTACGACTAATTTTTTAAAAATGGATTTTAACTACTTAATAAATAATAAAAACAAAAAAAAAAACATTAAAATGGGCTTTGCTTTACACAAGTTAAAGCTACTCCCCCTTAAATAGCACGAGCTTACATTAGTAGTAACCTTTTAATCTCAGAAAAAGCGAATTAACTAGGCTTGGAAATGATAATTACTTCGGGTTTGATTTCTTTTCTTCTTCATCTTCATAGAGGAGTTGTCAAACTAATAGAGGCTACGTATGCGCACTGTCTAACAAAGAACAAATTAAACTCGCACTATAAGTTTTTAAATGCTAATTAAATTTGGGTTCGCACAGCACAAGAACAAATCTTAATAAATATAATTAGTGTAAATAGTAATATAAATAAAATTTAACCAAAAAGGAAAAATTAAAATATTTAAATAAATTGAATGTACTAGAAACTATCTTAATGATAATAATTTTAAATTTTCTAATTCTAAAATCTATTCACATACTATATAATACTCGAACATTTTTTTATGTATAATGCTTTATATCTTGGTAATTAGGACGGAATGAAGAGTAAGTTGTGTAGTTGAGTGCATATTTTTATTTATTATAAATAGATAATGTTTGTTGCCTTAGACAATACTTCGCTAAGATATCTCGTCAAATAAAAGGGTTTCCATACAAGGTCTTGATTTCGTCTCCCTATAATGATCCGATCAGCGGTTCCGACAAATGAATAGCTTCCTGCGGGCAGGGACATTTGCAATATTTCAGATCGGTATCTCCAAAACTGAGGGACTGTTTCGCGTATATACAAACGGTCAGACGGACGGACATGGCTAAATCGACTCAGCTAATTAGTTTGATAATATTTCATTTTGTAGGGTTTCAACTCAAAGCTTTTATACGTAAAATTAAAAAAAAAAAAAACTTCTGATTGCTGGCAACCTGTCAAATGAACTAGGATAAGCAGAAAAACAAAATGCGTCTAACTTTGAAAGCGAAATTTAAAAAATATTAGCAAAGAGCACTGGCAAGGTATAAATATGATCGAGGGGCAAATGTGTTGAACAGCTGCAGTCGTTGAAGATACTACATTGTAAAATATTCAAAGACATACACGAATTACATTCAAGAGCAACTGACGTGGTTTACATAAAAAACTATATACATACATATATGAATATACTTATGAAAGAGACATTTGGAAATATGTATGTATGTAAATTTGATATGTGGAAGGTAGGGTGAGCCATTTTGATCTACAACATTTAAGTGCAGGAAAGTTTAAACTGTCTCAATAGTGTGATTTAACTGGCAATCGAGGTTCCGATTAGGAATAGCTGGAAGTTGGCCTAAGTAAATTTATTAAATCGATTTGGCGAATGATTAACTTTGATACAGTAAAGTATCAATAGAAGCGCACTTTTATAAATCGTCGTTTAAAATACGTACCATCAAAAAATTCGAAATTCAATCTTTGATTGCTTACGATTCACTAATAACCATTTTATAATCAAAACAGACGCTTTGTTTCRACATAAGCAGTTTCTCTTATATCCTATTTCCTTCACTTGTAAACTTATAAAAAGTGATGTTACGTTATTTTGCATTTTAGATGAGGATATAATATTTTGTTTAATTATATATTAAACTGAAACTAATTAAGTTTTAGAACTATTTTTTTAATTTATAATNATCATATGCTAAAACGGTCGGTGAATCGCCCCAAACAGTGGCCAAGCCAGTGTTTGGTGGGATTCGAAGGGAATCATCCACTATGAGCTGCTCTCATATGACCAGACACTTAATTCTACCAACTACTGCGAACAACTGGACCGCTTGAAGCAGGCGATCGACCCGAAGCGTCCGGAATTGGCCAACAGGAAGTGTATAGTGTTCCAAGCATAGAAGCTACGGGAGCTCGGATGGGAAGTTTTATCGCATCCACCATATAGCCCGGACATAGCGCCAAGTGATTACCACCTGTTCCTGTCCTGTCTCTTATACACATCTAGATGTGTATAAGAGACAGGAAACTAATTAAGTTTTAGAACTATTTTTTTAATTTATAATAATATTTTAAAATATAATTATGTTATGTTAATTAAAAAATAAAACTATTAACAGTTTTAAAAACAAATATAAACTATTGTTAGTGAATTAGTAAAAAAATAGTTTTTTTCTTTACACATTTACATTTAAAATTTTTAATATTATTGATTGCCTTGAAAAAAATATTTGTAAAAGTATATGGAACTACCTTAAATTATGATGTATTCATAAGAAATATTATTTTTCTACAATATATAAAAGAATGTATAATATACATATACAAGGCAATGTTTATAATTTTTTTGGATACAAACAAATAGAAAATAAAATAATGTGGGTGTTATTGAAAGAATATTATAAATAAAACAAATTCGCGGTAATTTTTCTTAATAAATGAGTATAGAAATAAATACGCCTGTATAAAAAGTGTGAGCGTAACCCATATACATATATATGTACATATGTATATATATAGAAATAAGCACATACATTTGTATATACGTACATGTGTAAATATATACTTGTATATATGTGTTTGAAGGTCACATACGAAGAGCCCTCCAAAGTTTTATCTTCCGAATTCGTAGGCCTACTTCGAATGAACGAAAATATGGAAAGCGACCACCTTGCAATCGTCAAATTCGGCCTCATGGTGACCGTGACAAGCGCAAGGTCTCGGACCCAATCGCATCTCTACCGGCATCGTAATCATGAATGCACGATACATGCCAGATAGAATCTGATGACTTTGATATGTGTATTTTTGTGTTTGTGTTTTTTGTTTTTTGTTATTTTTTATATTATTTATATTTTATTTTTATTTACAAATAAACAAATTACAATAATATTGCCTTGTATTTAAAAATACCTAAACTTAACCTAATTTATAGTTTTTCGATTTGTTAGTTATTATACTTTCACTTCTTCTATGTTCATCGAATTTCTATTCGATATTAATTCAGTTAGTTTAACTAGTAGAAATAACTGATACACGTGTGTATTTATGAAGTATTTTAACATATTCTTGAGGCACGGTGGCACAGCTGTTAACTATGCAGAAATTTCAAAAGTTCAGGGACAACATAAGGCCATGAGGCATGAGCAGGGACACATTCACTCTGCCATTTGGTGCACGTACCAATGGTTAATGAGTTCATGCGTACGCACTGCCACGCCTGCGGGTAGCACGGGGTTTCAACAGCAAGATCAGGTATATATATCAACTTATTGTAGCAGCATGAACGGTGGCGATCGTATATCTTTTATGATGAGGAAGAATCAATCGAAATCCAATTAGTTTCTGTTTTTTCTGCAATACTTTTCAATGGAACACTTAACGGTTGTATGTTGGTGTGTGTGGATGTTTTCGTGTGTTTGTGTAATTTCGATTTGTGTATAGGTGTTTTTTGTGTATATATATGTGTGTAAGTGTGCGTGTTCAACCGCATTGCTGTACTTGCGTAAAATATCAGCAAAAATAGAAACTCTATTTTCCCAAAACGATCGACCGAAACGCATGCTGGCTGCTGTTTTTGTTTTTGCTTTCAACTTTTGCACCCGCCACGCACTGACTAAATATAATAAGCATCCATACATTCTAAAGTATGTATGTATGTATGTATGTATGTATATATATTATCGCATAGCTTTATATGTAGCTGATTCAATTTTGTTTTTGCAAAGTATCAAATAGACTCAAAATTAATGAAACGTTTTGAAATTAACAAAAAAAAAACAAAAAAAAGCAAACAAAACTTTTCGAAAAACCGTTTCTACAAATTTGGAAAATTTTAATTCTCCATAAAATCAAATTGTATATCGGTTTATTCTTCCTCATCAACACCCACGCATGATGGACAGACGGGTTTGCCTTCCATGGCGTAGAATGATTTTCCTCTCACCGCTTTCTTGCAATCCTGGAAAGGTGAAAATTACATATAATTGAGAAACACATAAATTTACAACGGTTTCTTTAAACATAATACAAAACATGCGCGAGTAATTATTGTAAAAAAAATCTCAGTTTCGCAATTAGACTGCAAATTTTGGATTTACCGCATCACGTAAGCTACAGAGCTGGCGCATATTGAAAGCACTTACCCGGCATACGAAGCAGTCAGGATGCCATTGAGAGTTCAGCGCCGAGATATAGTTTTCCATAATAGCACGATTGCAACCATTGCATTTGGGCGCGAACATTTCGAAGTAATCGTTGCGGCAATAGGGTTTGCCATCGCGTTCATGGAAACCGTCCTCGCCAAATTGCTGTCCGCACTGTGCGCAGAAGAAGTGCTCCGTATGCCATGTCTTATCCAAAGCTGTTACGCATTTCTGCAAACAAAAATGATTATTCATAATTCCAATTCATAATCTAAATAAATATTAGCCACAAATGCGTACATCTAAAATAGCGCCATTGCAGTAAGCGCAACGTGGACTGAACAAGTTGTGGTAGTCCGGCTCACAGTATGGGAAGCCATCGCGTTCAAAGAAGTTGCGTGTGCCCAACTCCTGGTTGCAGTGGTTACATGTGAAGTGCTCTGGATGCCAGGTCTTGCCCAAGGCTGTGATCACTTGGCCTACAATTGGCTTTTCGCAAGCATTGCAGCATCCCTTTTGCACGGTATTGACTCCTTGACGACTCATATTGGCTTGTAAACTACCAAGCATAGAATCCAACTGATCTGGTTCGTTATCTTCTACAAGGGTAGAAGTGGTGGTCTCGGTGATAGTTTGCGTTAAATGTGACACGCCTTTATTCGGCTTAGCGTAATCGGTAACTGTCTGGTGGTGATGGTTCGAACCGTTATTAACCTAAAAAGAGTAATGAAACAAAAATTGAAATCCTTTATTAAATCCTTGATCATTTATGAAGGACTGAAAAATTGTATCCTAAGTACATAGGTATGTATATATTTAAATTTTTTATGTTTTTAGCTGCGTTGCCTTACGTTCTCGTGTGCGATCTAAAGCGTCTGGTGAAAATTTTCAAACTGAAAATACTTTTATGCGCGCTGAACTCAAAAACTTAGCAATCGGTTATCGTGTCGAGAACAACAACAAAATAAATTGAAAAATATAAGAGGCAGAAAATAAGTAAAGAGCAAAAAAGACGATGACCGTGTTACGAACTGGCAAATGCGCCGACGCAAGTAGCAGCTTTACAACTGGGAAGCTTTAGTATTGCCAAAAAAATATCTATGTATATGAAGTATGCCGGTCAAACGTCGGCAGCGCCCCTCATTTATTTCCATGCATATATGTACATAAGTATGTATTAAAGTGTGTGGCTACTCTTAAATAAGCGAAACTGATTTGGTTTTTCCTCGGCCGCGTCTATACACCCAACGGGGTATTCCCATTTGCTGCGATTCCCAAGTTCTGCTCGACACAGTCAACACACAATCAATTATAATGTGTGGGTATTGATATTTTGTCCAAAATTCATATGCGAATTGTCATTCCTGATAATACTCTTTAAGGCTGAACATTGGGGACGACGGCATAGTCTAGCAGACTCATTGCTAAGTTACAAATTGCACGTACGACTTTTACGTGTTTGTTTAAAAATAAAGTTAATTTTGTGCACCATTTAAGTTTTGTTTCAATAAGAAGGGTCGTATTTATGTAGAACAGTTTGGGACTTTAAACCATAGCCGGTATAGTCGGAAGTATAGAGAAGTGCGATAAATTAGTTGGGAGACAAATGTAACTTTGTTGATGCCATAACTGCATAAACCGTTTTCTATTGATTTGGACAGTACTGCTAAGGGTGAAAGTTACTAGGCGAATTTAAATCCCGGTTCTTTCGATAAGGTATATCCGGTCTACCCTCTGTCGTTGGTATGGGGAAGTTGCTGTGTTCTTATCTGAAACTGATTCTAGTGAAGAACAATCCGAATTCGTAATGAATGGATGCTACTCGTATGGTATCACTTCTTATGTGAATACATCTCTGACAGGATACTCGAACACAAATTTATATTTAGAATTTTAACATTGGATAACTCAAGAGCATTATTTAAACTTAGTTGGGTAATGATTTATATCACTATTACAATAATCAACGGTTGGTTTCAAATTGTTTATGCTTCTAGGTGGTTTATATCTAAGGACAAAGTGATCATTAAACAACAAATATCAACATGGCGGCCATGTTGTGTCAGGTCATATCGTCTAAGTACTATTTTCTTTAATATAATTCTTAAATTCGTTAATCAGTCCAAGTCTCTGTCTACAATAAACCTGCATGACCCAATAACTTGTAGGTCTTTTTTCATGTAAGAACACCACTAATGTTCAACTCCAAAAAAAAAATCTTCCCAAAAATTTCAAAAAAGTTCTCAAATTTTTAAAGCATAAGGGACTAAAATATAGTGTTGAACCAATAAGAAAAACTCATAGGTATCAATCAAGCTTAATGTATATGCGATTTAAGATAAACAATTGGGAAGCTGACTAAAATATAGTGTTGAACCAATAAGAAAAACTCATAGGTATCAATCAAGCTTAATGTATATGCGATTTAAGATAAACAATTGGGTAGCTGACAGATGCGTGTAATAAATCAGGCAATGTCAACAAAGCCATTAGCGGAAGTGTGTCAGATGTCTAATGCCAAAGAACATAGAAGACAACTTTATAACATGGCTTTATGAAAATAAAATCAAATTTTCTGTATGGGTACATCTTTATATACCAAATGTTTACATAATACAGTATATACAYCTATATTTTGACAAATCGACAGGTGATTTTGTTTAGAAATAGTTTAATGAATGGAACTATATGAGAGCTGAGAGATATTAAGCAGCTTAATTATTGCTTTATGCAAGATCTTAAGCGATGTAAAACAAAAATGAATATGTACTATATACAACAATTGGATCTCTGAAAATGGCAGCTTCCTAATGAATTTAAATGAGAAAATATCTTTTAAGTACTTGAACAATTTTAACAAGCTTTTAACGAATTTCATTTAAAAAGAAGACAAAGCAAAAATCAATAGCATTTCTTAAAATCCGAATCCTGTAATGTAACTTTCCACATTTCCATATGCTCTGTAAAATCGATATGCCTAATTTGTACAATAATCATACTTCCTTAGAAAAATTGGAGCTGTGTGACTTGAATGATCTTGAGTAGTTTTTTTTTTCAACTTGAATAAATGCCAATGATTTTTCTATGAGAACTAAAGCAGTCAGAATATTAAGATATGTAGAACACTTTCACTAATAGTGTAATAGTATCCAATAACACTATTAGACAAAATATAACAGCAAGTTTTGGATACATAATCGTCTGAATAAATATTATATGTAAGGATATGTTCACATCATGTGAAAGATTGATAGATATTCTCGCAGGAAGACAAGAAACAATGTCGTACGAGTATACCTAAATTATCCCCATTTAAATGTCTTATATAGCTGCAACAATCTGTTAAAAGAGCTTGCCCACATTTTTACTGAGTATTATTATTACTTATTCTTCTTCTTAATTGCGGTACATACCGCTTACGCGATTATAGCCGTGTTAACAACAGCGCGAGTCATTTCTTCTTTTCGCTACGTGGCGCCTTATACTTTCAGAGCTGGAGTATTTTCGTCCATTCGGACAACATGACCTAGCCAACGTAGCCGCTGTCTTTTAATTCGCTGAACTATGTCAATGTCGTCATATATCTCATACAGCTCATCGTTCCATCGAATGCGATATTTGCCGTGGCCAGTGCTCAAAGGGCCGTAAATCTCTGCACCATATAGCAGGACGGGAATTATGAGTGACTTATAGAGTTTGGTTTTTGTTCGTGGAGAGAGGACTTTACTTCTCAGTTGCCTACTCAGTCAGAAGTAGAACCTGTTGGCAAGAGTTATCCTGCGTTGGATTTCCAGGCTGACACTGAGCATTTAATTTTAAATAATACTTTAGAATAAGAAACTTCAAGAACGTAGCAAATGGGATAGAAAATATATACAGATTTTACTTAAAATAAATCAGAAAAGTGCTTTAATTTTATTCAAGGAAATTAATTCCATGCCTCGTAGGGATTATAATATAAGTCGACGATTGTGAAAGATCCGAATATCGAAAATACCGAAGGTAAGTATAATACCCATCACAGAAGCAATTTTGAACAAACAAATTGAACGGAGATTGCATCGTTGTCTTCAAATATATTTCTTACCAAATTTCATAAAAATGTATGTATTGTTAAGTTTTTATGGCAGCCATATCTATATTGAACCGATATCCGACAAATGAACAACTTTTTGAAAGAAGCATAAGCAATTTTGAGATCGATATCTCAAAAGTCGAGGAACTAGCTCACGGACATACCGACGAACTACTAGACATACTTGGCTAAATCTGCTTACCTCATTACGTAGCTATTTTCATATGTCTTTTGAATTTCGCGGCAATGTAAAAAGCGCTGCAAAGCTCATATCTGACAATACTATACATCTTTAAAGGTCTTGACATAACATACAAAACGACACTATGCATGATTAGTTTGGATAATGCGTTCAACAGTTATAGACGTGTAAACATAGAGTTCACTAACGCTGCTATTTTAAAGTTTTCCTTGCTTAAATGCGAATTCACTAGAGAAACGCTCCGTGAGATTAATGGTGTTTTGAGGGATGTGAAAACGACACCATGGACAAGCCAGCCGGCGGAAGACCTGTGACGACTCATCATGACATCTCCCAGAAGAGTTATTCACCAATCCATTTTAAACCATCTGCAGAAGGCTGGATACACGAAAAAGCTTGATGTTGACTGCCGCATGATTTGACGCAAAAAATCCTCTGAACCGAATCAACGCCTGCGATATGCTGCCGAAACGAAACAAACTCGACCCATTTTTGAAGCGGATGGTGACTGGCGACGAAAAATGGATCATATGCTAAAACGGTCGGTGAATCGCCCCAAACAGTGGCCAAGCCAGTGTTTGGTGGGATTCGAAGGGAATCATCCACTATGAGCTGCTCTCATATGACCAGACACTTAATTCTACCAACTACTGCGAACAACTGGACCGCTTGAAGCAGGCGATCGACCCGAAGCGTCCGGAATTGGCCAACAGGAAGTGTATAGTGTTCCAAGCATAGAAGCTACGGGAGCTCGGATGGGAAGTTTTATCGCATCCACCATATAGCCCGGACATARCGCCAAGTGATTACCACCTGTTCCTGTCCATGGCGAACGCCCTTGGTGGTGTAAATTTGAACTCAAAAGAGGCTTGTGTAAGGCCTGGATCTTCTACGAGGGGGGTATTATGAAGCTCATATTTTAACTACTTAATACTTTTTATAAAGCATTGAATAAAGAGTAAAAAAGCGGAAGGGAGATATTTGAAAACATAATACATAATAGGGTAGAAGACGTTTACTTCTGGGTTTTTTAATATACACTAATCAATGTTCACAACGATACAAATAGAGACCACAATAGTTATATTGTGTATCTCTTTGGATTATTATGGTTGATAGAAACTTTGTTTACAACTATTTCTTTGACCGTTCTTTTCGTTCTTGTTATAATACAGTATTTCTGCACAAACAGTACGAACTTTCGTGTTTAAACTTCTACTGATGGAACGTTTTATATCAAATTTATAATAGTATCTTATTTCCTAACACAATTCTCCTTCATAATAGTGCTGCTACAAAATATATGAAATTATGTCAGTCATGTTGATAGGTTGGAGAAATATAAAGGAGAGTAATGAGTTAATAAGAAAACATAGTTCATTCTTGGGAATGAATACCACTTTTAAATATATCTTTTAATTAGCTTATATAATTTAA